GCTAAGCACTTCCAGTAACACCAAGCTGCTCACTGTTGCTTAAGCCCATCTTTTTTAATACCAATTATCTTTTTGGTAATACTATATGGCTGTAATAATGGAAGAGCATGTTCCAGGTGTCTTATACTTTACCCCCTTATCCAAACTCTATAATCCAGCCACACTGGACTCACACATGAAACTCTGTTTTCTGATTCAATTCCATGCATTTTCTCTGGCTGTCCCCCCCAGTCTGGAATGTTTGCCTTCCTCACCCCCGACAACGCCTAGCTTCCCTGACTTCCTTTAAGACTCAATTCAAATCTCTCCTTCTACAGGAGGCCTTCCCCTGTTTCCTCTGTGACTAGTTCCTTCTCCCTGAAATTAGCATCCATTTGCATTGTATGTATCTTGTAGGTATGTAGTTATTTGCATGTTGACTCCTCCATTAGAACTAAGCTCCTTGAGAACAAAGACCATGTTTTTTTTTACCTTTCTTTGTATTCTCAGACATATAATAAGTGCTCAATAAATGCCTGTTGGCTGGCCGACAACATAAGCTGAATAAAAATTATAGGTGATCCAAAGAAAAAGGAAAGACATGTTGTTGTTCAGTGACTTGCCTGAGTTCACTTAGCTAGTAAGTGTCTGATCTCAGAAAGAGGAGTCTTCCTGACTCCAGGCCTGGTGCTCTATCCATTGCACCACCCAGCTGCTCCAGAAAGACACACGGTGTCCATCAATAGATTGTAGCACATACCAATCAGAACAATTTTGGCTTGTGGGACAAGATTCACAAAATTCGCCCAAATCCAATTCAATCCAATAAGTATTTATTAAGCACCTGCTATGTGCCAGGCACTGTGCTAGGTGCTGAATATACAAAGACAACCTGAGAAAACAAAAGTCTATGATCTGTAGGTGCTTATTACTAGGGGATGGATGAGAATACAGCATGTAAACAGAAGTATACACAAAGGGAGTACTAACAGCTAAGGGAATCAAGAGAGGCTTCTTGTAGGAGATGGCACATGGGCTGATTTTTGAAGGAAGGGATGCTAAGAAGCAGTGGTGAAACTCAGTGTATTCCAGGTTTGTGAGACAGGATATGCAAAGGGACAAAGGCAGGAGAGATGGAATGTTCAGTTTGGAGAACAGCAAATAAACCAATTGGCCAAAGTATAAAATACATGAAGGGGAGTGATGAAAAAAAAGTGTGGAAAGATAAGCTGCAGTCAGATTATGAAAGGCTGTAAATACCAACTTGAAGAGTTTGCATTTTATCCAAAAGACAATAATCACTAAAAGTTCTTAAGCAAAAGAATGACAGGGTCATCTGTGCTTTAGAGACATTATTTGGCAGTTGTGTGGAGGTTGTTTTCGAGAGGTGAGATGCTTGAGGCTGGGAGTCCAATTAGGATGCTATTGCAGTAGTCTGGGCAACAGGATGCCTTGAATTAGGGTGCTAGGCATCTAACCATAGAGGAAGGGATGTATGTGGTAAAGGTAGCATTGGCAAGACTTGATATATGAACTGATATAGGATGTGAGGGAGAGGGAAGAGTCCAAGGTTGCAAACCTGGGCAACTGGGAGTATAGTTGTATAGAAATAGGGAAGTCAGAAGGAGGGGTGGATATGAAAAAGGGAAGGAAGGAGAAGATAACGTTTTGCTTTTGACATTTTGAGTTAGAGAATTCTTGTTGGAGATATCCAACAGGTGGTTGGAAATACAGGATTAGCCCATTAGGAGAGAGATTAGGGATGGACACAGAGATTAGGGAGTCATCTGCATAGAAAGTGACTGACAGACCCACAGAAACTAATGAGGTAGCCAAAGAAGTGGGTATAGAGAAGAGGGCATAGGACACTGCCTTGGGGAAGTTAGAGGCCATGACACAGATTATGACTAACAGTAAAGGAGACCAAGGAGAAGTCAGACAGGTAGAAGGAGAACAACCCCCCCCCAAAAAATCGATTTCATGAAAATGCAGAGGACAGTGTAGTCAACAATGTCAAAGGTCTCTATTGAGAAGTCTTACTTGGCAATTAAGAGTTCAATGTTAACCTTAAGCAGTTTGAGTTGAGTGGTGAGGTCAGAAGCCAGATTGCAAAGGGTTGAGAAGTGAGTGGGAGGCAAGGGAGTAGGGATAAAGGAGTATGGATGGCTGTTTCTAGAAGTTTGGTTGTGAAACAACGGAGAGATATAAGAGGATAGCTTGAGGAAATGGAAGTCAACTGAAGGTTTTTTAAGAAGAGGTGAGGGACATCTGGGCATGGTCTTAAGCAGTAGGGAAAGAGCCAATAGGGAGGGAGAGATTAAAGACAGTGTATGTGATGGCGCAAATTCCCAGAGAAGGAATAACCAAGGGCAGAAGAACAGAGGTTGACTTTGGCCAGGAGGAGGGACACCTCCTTGTCAGATACTGGAACAGGGTGGGAAAGAATAAGGCATGGTGCAGAGGAGTTCTGAAGTACATTTAAAATTGGGGAGAAAAGGTAACTTACATTAGATGGCCTTTATTTTCTCAATAAATAGAAAATAATTTCTGCTAAAAAGGCAGTGAGAAGAAATGGTGTAGGTGACTTGAGGAAAGACAAGTAGGTTTGAGACAGCCACTAGATGGAGTGTGATAATCAGTCAGGGAAGAATAAAAAGATTGCTGTGCAGTGGTGAGTGTCTATCTGAGACTAGACTGTTGCTTAGTTTCATGGGATCTCTAATTATCAGATTCCTGCTAGAACCCTAATGCAAACGGAAGTTACCCTTACCCTTTGTCTGTTAGAATGTTTTGTGTAGAAATATACCTTCCAATTATTTTTTCCTTTCTCTTCTCTCCTCAGCTCAGACTTTAGACACCTTCTGCTTCCCGTCCTTCTCCCTGCCCCCATTAGCTTTTTATGTCTTGTTATCGAAAAGAGTGATCTGCACAAAGAAGGCCTGATTTTGTTGAAGTTGGCACTGACTAAGTATCACAAGCTCTTGCTCAACAATGACGGCTGGTTGGTGGAAATGAATGGCTTTAAGTGGAAGCTGTTCAGAGGTATCTTTGAACTGTCTCCAGTGACCAATCAACCCACATGCTTCTGGCATTAGCTCAAGGGCTTTGGAAAGGCCTCTTCCTCCTTTCTTCACTGCCTCCATTTCTTTCTCCTCAATTCCCAGTGATGAATTTCCAAATGAGTAACCCTTGTATAAGGGATTATGAACTCATTTTTAAACCTCATGTTCCCTTTCAGAGAGCCATTTCCTTCTAGTCTTTAAGGTATCTGCAATATAGTTTCTAATCATAAGACACACAGAAACCTCCTACTTGAACTTCAAGTTGGTTTTTTTTTTTTTTTTTGAGTGAGGCAATTGGGGTTAAGTGACTTTCCCAGAGTCACACAGCTAGTAAGTATTATATATCTGGGGCCAGATTTGAACTCAGGTCCTCCTGACTCCAGGGCCGGTGTTCAAATTGTTATTTTAAAATAAGGAGAGGAAAGCCAATCATGAGCAAGAAAAAAAAATCAGTGCTCATAATTACTTTCTCAATGAGTGCCCTCATTTAGGCCAAACCTCCATCCTACTTACTCAAGTCCCAAGTTTCAGAGTTGAACCTTCACTCCTATCTCATTTCTACCCCAAACCTGGAAGGTTGGGATGCAGGTGTGATCATATCTGGGGCAACCTTATCTGTTTACAAAATGTGAATCAGTGATTACACCACACAGGGCTGGTGCCAGTCAGACAGGCTGCCATATTGCCAAGTAACCCATTGGTCAAATCACATTGAGTAATACCTCCTAGTGAGAAGCTACAGAACATACATTATATAGTATACTCTTGAATAAAAGTACAAACCTGAAGGCTTAATTTGATTGGAAAAGATGCCCACTAAGGCAGCATGCTGAGGGCAATCAATCACATATAATAGTGTAGAAACTAATACTTAATAAGGAAGAGGTCTTAATAAAGTCCATAGGTAAACAGGAATCTAGACTGTGGGAAAAGAGACAATAGGACTGAAAGCAAGCCTTGGAAGTATTGTATTAGAGGAGTTTATATGGTAGCTTATGGGCCCTCCCTGCCATGAATAATATCAGTAAAGCTAGCCCCTTTCCTCACTTGTCATTATGGAAAACCACAGTTCAGATTGTTAAGAGTTTCTTAAGGTGAGGGAGGAAATTCAAGATGGTAGCCAATACTGGCCTAGAATTGTGTGGGTGGGAAACTTTACAAGATTCCATACTGCATTCTCCTTGTATGTCTCTCACTTCAAAGTCATTCTGCTCCAAGGCCCTAATGCACCTGCTCCACCCAGGCCTGGACTGAGCTTCTTGGTGACTTGCCAATAAAAAATACCACCCACCACCTCCTCATTGAGTGGGGAAGTGGAGAGAAGGAGACAGTGAGAATTGTCCCTTTAAAGAGAAGCTATCAAACATTTTCCCCGACAATTATTTGATCTAGTTTTTGTCTTGGTGGCGAAGATACCCATTTGCCCACCATTCTTCCCTACCAGTCTTGTCTGCTATTTGGCCCCTATAATCCCATGTTAATACATTGTCCTCAATGAGGCTGAAGCTATGGAAAACTTTTAACAAAGAAGCTCAGAGGAGTTTTTCCAATAGGTACAGGAGGAGGAGAAGACTGGTTACCATCTAGAACCCTAGTATGATTCTCCAGCAATATGCCTCATACTCCCATGGGTGCAAAAAGTGATAATGAGAAGAATGGGAAATATGAAGATAGCTAATGTGAAGAAAGGAGTTGGGTGAGTGGGTATGGGGAACATATTTCTGTGCTGGCTCAGCTGGAGATAAGGAAAAATCATCTAATCTAGCAAATACAGTGATTAAGAAGGAGATGGGGGGGGTGCCTGTTAGGAAACTTCTTAAGGTGAGAGAAGTGTGAGTGTTGTGGAAGACAAAAGGTATGAAATGAAGGGAACCAATATGCAAAGACACACCCGAAGACAAACCTTTGGCTGTCTTTTCCCCTTGTCTTCGCCCCCCTCCAATTCTTATTTCCCATGGGAAAAAAAGCAAATGTCGGACTTGTATTTCAGCAGAAAACAAAGGCCAAACATAAAAAAGAGCACCTTCTGTGCCCTACTTCCTTGGTTAGTCCATATGAAAAATTTCCAAAAGCCAAAGCCACCTTCAGACCAGGCAGTCAGCTCCAAACGAGACTGAAACAAAGCTCCAGAAGTCCTGTCCCAGTAGGATTAGGGCTGTTGCATTTAGCTCTCCTCTTCCCATCCCTATCCACCCTCACCTTTTGCAGCTGCCAAGGCAGTTTCCAAACTACCCAGCAGCACACTTGAGAGCCCTGGGCACCAAGCTCTCCCTCCCAAGTCTTCAGTCAAGCTGTAGGCAAAGTAATCCTCCCATTTTCTGTTTTCACAAAGCTTCAAGCAAGAGAGTCTCAACATGGCTGCAGAGAACCTTCGAGGTTCTATTCTCTTTTCTCCATTCCCTCTGGTCACTTTAGCAAGATTCCATAAACCAAGAGGGGTTTTCTCCAAGGTTACTGATTAGTAGAAACCCAGAGGGCAACAGGGATAAGGGCAGTAGAAATATCCCAAAGCTGGCTGTTAACTGTTTCCCATGAATGCATCCATGAGTGCTTTTTTGTGGTTCTCACCTCGGGACAGACAGATCGAGGTGTCCCAGCAGAGCAGCACCCAACCAACTAAAGCCAAAAACCAACCAGCCAACCAACAACAACAAAAAACAACCAAACCCAAAACCAACAACCACCAAAACCCTCTATATCCAGATTCCAAATGGCACCAGAACCCAGATAAAATTCATCCTCTTCCCATTTCACATTTTCTCTATGAAGGTTTTCTGAGCACGGGAAGTAAGTCCAGAAACCAAACCAAACCAAACAAATAAACCAAGGTAAGAACAAAAATAAACATGCTCTATACAGAATTAAAAGACCCAAACACGAAATGAAATTTACAGCCTGGTTGATTGTCAGCAAACACAATATATTTACTGTATTAGCATTTGCTCACAGTGCAAATGGTAAGACGTTACACCATTTCAATATTCCGGTTTTTAAAAATGCTGTTTGCATTAACTATATCATATTGGCATTACAATGTGACAAATGAGCAAATGAAATGCTGGTGAAGAATTTCACCTTTTCACAATATCAAGCATACTTTTGGTTACCTTAGTATAAGGTACTATAAATCCAAGAAATAAAAACATCCACAAAATATATTACATCTGGTTTGTCTTTTTTCTAAGTACTCAACTTTATACAAAAGTCTTTCAAAAAATATCATTCCCCTTAGGTTTTCCTGTTTAAAACCTGATTTTGTTTTGTTCCTCTCAGTTCACATAGTTAAGAGTGCATTTTCTAGTTGTTTTGTTTTTACATGCAGACATAAAAACCTGGATAGCACAACCTTTTGGCAACAAAGTTTTTTTTTCCTCTTAGTTTAGCTTAAATGTCTGAGCACAGTTTTATTAAAACAAAAGAAAACTCAGAGCTGTCATGCAGTGACATGCATATACCAGAAGGAGCAAGAAAAAAATATTAAGGGATATCTGATTCCTCCTTCCAGCTTTGAAGTGACCAAAAATTTTGGTTTTGTTTTTGTTTTTAATAATTATCACATTATAAAAAGTATTCAGCAAAATACTGTCTCTGCAAAGAAAGATTTTACCCTTCAGCTGAAAAAAATGTGGGCCTTTCCCAGACCTTTTCTCTCCTCTTAGGAATTAGGAAAAGGTAAAAACTCCCCTGAAATTTCACAGCCCTTTGCCTTTCCATTTCCTTCTATCTCAAGTCCTTTAGTATTACTTTATCCACCACCGAAAAGGTGCTTTTTTTCTTCTTAAAGAAAAAAGAGAGGTGGGAAATGCATAAAGTGACTTTAAAAGCAGACCCACTCTGTAAACTCCAGACCTATACACCCTCTCTCAGCAGCTTCCTAACCACAGGAGAAATAAATCTAATAGGTACATTCAATCAGACCTGTGCTGAAAGCTGCTGGGGAGAGCAACTTCCCCTCTACTTCCACTTCAAATGAGCCACCATAACACATTAAGAGCTGCTTTGGAGTTGGGTTCGGGGTCAAGTTAGGGCAAGAAGAAAGAGTTGTGGGAGGGGGAGAATAGAGAGGTTAAGGTTTGGGTATGGGAAGATCATCCAGCAATAGAGGTCAATGCAAAAATCCCCATCTTCCTTTGAGGAAAGTTTGGATATAAACACACACATATACATACTAGTTATGTATATATTATATATATGTATATATAATCTCCTCCAGTTAGCATTTCTTCCAAAAATAAAACATTTAAAGCTGTATATTTAAAGATTACCCACGTGCACTGCACCAGATAACCAAGTACCGTAGTGATATTATCCGGCTAAGGGAATACTCTGTGTGTGTTTTCACACATACACACATATATTTAAGTTCAATTTGTTGTACCATTTTTTTGTGTGTGTGATGACTAGGACAAAAAAAAGGGCCATCTCTCTCTTCCGTGAGGAGAGGTGGAATATGTGACTTTTCACTGTATGTGAGAAACAAAAATACAACCGCACTCGGGGCAGAGAGAAGGGGGTTGCTAGGCCAGCTAACGTTGGAAGTTGGGTGGGCCTTGCTCTTTCTGGAGAAGGGTGGTTTGTGAAGGGGAAAGTGGGGGTGGGATGGGAAAATGGTGAGAAGGGTGAGGAAGAGAAGGAAGAATGGCAGAACCGGATGAAAAGTCAGTTTGTTTAAAAAAAAAAAGAAAGGAAAAGGAGGAGGGAAAAATATATGGAAAGAATAAAAAGAAGAAATAAAGAAAAAAAGCAGGCTCAGTTATGGCCGCCCCCTTCTCCAGGGAGGTGAGATGTAAGTGCCCTGAGGGCCATGGAGGGAAGAGGTTAAAGACCCAGAGACCAAAGGAGACCCCAAGGCGGCGGCATCCGAGGCATTTCTCTAAGAAAGATTTCTCATCAGACGAAAGAAAGCCCACCTCGTCCCGCCCTGCGGGCCGACCCCCAACGCCAGTTATTTGCTCTGGCTCTCCTCCAAGAAGCCTGGGGACTGGGTGTGGGAAGGAGAGTTTTTTTGAGGGGAGGATGGTAAAACAGCCCAGTTGAGAGCTCAGTCACAAACATACATACATAACACACACACGCACACACACACACATACACGCGCACGCAGGCGCGCACACGGCGGGCAGCAAGCACTGCGCTTTGGTGCGCTCCTCATCTCCCCCCCTCCCACCCCCGTCTCCAAGATGGGGGGCGGGGGAGGTGGAGACGGAGGGCGGTGGGGTGTGCAAGGGTCGGACTAGGCTCCTTACCCCACCCACAAGTCTTCGTAAGGTCCCTGGTGAGTCCCACCTGCCCCCCGTGGATCAAGGCGATCCGAGTTGAACAAAGCGGGCTAGACGCCACCTTTCCACACCCCCCTACCCAGTGAAGGGCGGCGGCGAGGGGGAGGATTCCCCCATCTGGACCCCTAATCCTAGGCTAGTGCCGAGGGGGTGGGTAGGAAGCATCATAGGGGAGTTGGGGGCCGTGCGTCCAGGGAGAGGCCAGGGCGCGGCCCCTGCGCCTCCGTGGCGGGGTGCCCCATTACTTTCAAGGCAGCAACGGGGAGGCACTGGAGGGGAAAAGTGGGGTCTGGAGCCGGAGCCAGGTCCTCAGGCGCAGGTGGTGACGACGGGAGCCAGAGATACAGGGGGCGCCGAGGAGGCGGAGGCCGCTCCCCCCTTCTCTGCCTTCTTCTCCTTCTGTTTGAGGTGGATTTTGGCGTGGCGCTTGCGCTCGTCGCTGCGCGCGAACTTGCGCCCGCAGAACTCGCAGGCGAAGGGCTTCTCGCCCGTGTGAGTGCGGATGTGGGTGGTGAGGTGGTCGCTGCGGCTGAAACTGCGCATGCAGATCCGACACTGGAAGGGCTTGTGGCCAGTGTGGATACGCAGGTGCCGGGTCAGCTCGTCTGAGCGGCTGAAGCGGCGGTCGCAACCCTCGGCCGGACACGCGTGGGGTCGTTCGTGGAGCGGGGTCTTGCTGGGTCGGTTGGGGTACTTGCGGGGCCGGATGGGCTTGAGAGTGAGCGGCGGCTGGGGCAAGCTGCCGAAGCCGGGGTGAATCTGTTTGTCCTTGAAAGCCTTGATGGTCTCCAGGGGGGTGATGGGGGGCGGGTTGACCCGGATGGGATCCATGCTCTGGAAGGGCTTGTGCTCCGTGACAGATCCCATCTCGTTGGGGTGGTGGTACAGGTTGTAGTCGGGGATCATGGGGAAAAGGTTACTGTCCAAACCGGGCTTGGCCGACTGGTAATCCTGGGGGGAATAGGCGAGCCCGGGGTTGCCCTGAGGGTCATGGAAAGACACGGGCTCAGAATAGAGGTCGCTGCAGTTGGAGTAAGGGGGCAACGCCGGGTACATGGGTTCCACCTCGCCCTGCGGCTGCACCATGCTGGCGGTAGAGGTCTGTGTACTGAGCGCCCCGGAGGCCGGGGGCACCCCTAGGATGCCGGCGCTCATGAGGCTGATGATGTTGTCCTGACACCAGTTGGAGGGGGAGTCGAAGGCGAACTTCCCCAAGTAGGTCACCGTCTTGTTGCCCGGAGCGGGCTGGAAGGAGCCGGAGTAAGAGAGTTCCTGGTTGGGCTTCTCGTTCGCCAGACCGATGTCCATCACATTCTCTGTGGAGAGGGGGGAGGGAGAGAGGGGAGGGGTGAGTGAACCCGAGCGCCAGCGCCGCTCAAAGCGGGCCCAGGGGCCCAGACCCGTGCCCAGGTGCCGAGCGAGGGTGGGGTGCCAAGGAGAGCGAGCGAGCAAATGGGGCAAGAGGCAACGCGCGCCCTGGCGCGAACCGGGCGGTGCCGATCTACCGGGCGCAACCTGGGATACAGCAAAATACGTACTATGGCTCGGGGTGTGGAGTATATGCAACACACACACATACACGCGTATAACACACTCACGCGCACACTCGCGCATAACGCGCACACACATGCAGGTTTATTGTTTCCCCCAGGAGGGGCAGGCAGGTAGCTAGCTGTAGCTACAGGTAGATTCAGAAGCGGAGCGCAGTGGTCTCTCTCCCTCAGCCTCAACAAACTCAGCCGATTCTCCCAAATCCTTACCCCTGCGAGACCCCTCCCTTATGCCCTAAGATCGGTGGGAAAGAGGCAAGCAGCAACCCCCAGTACTATCGGATGCTTTGTCCCTGAAGCAAAGAGGGGGACACCGTGGGCATAGAGGGACACTGAGTGCCGAGAGCTAGCTCCCCTTACTGTTCCTTTTCCCCCGCCCCCACTCCTCCTTGGGGCCTGGAGAGGCTCCGGGCTCTCAGTGGAGGGGGTGGGGTGGGAAACGAGAACGAGCTGGGGAGAAAGGATGAGGGCAACTTGGCCAGCATTTCCCCTTCGGGAGCAGTCATCCCTCCTTTACCTCCCTTGTCCCCTTCAGGGTCCTCAGGCACCCGATCGGTCGGTCCCTAACCCCGCCACCCCAGCCCCCACCCCGGCCGTACCCACACCCAGTTTCTCTCCGGTAAATGCCCTGGAAAGGCAGCGTCGCAGTGCCTCTCCCTACCGCGGGGACTCATCGCACATGGCTCCATTCCCGGGGGGAGGGCGGAAGGGCCGATCTTATATAGAAAAAGGCAAGACCCCCCTACATGCACCCGTAGAAAGAGGAAGGGGGAGATCGCCACGCCTAGCGTTGAGCCTGAAGATCGGGCCACCTGCATGGGGGGAGAGCTCTGGAGCCACTAGCACCTACCTCCCATCAGCGGCTGCACCCACCCGGGATAACCGGAGCCTTTACCGCGGCGTCTCCAAAGGAGCCTCCCCGCAGCCCGGGAGGCGGGAGGGGTGGGTGGGAAAAGCAACTCGCCCCCCGGAAAATTCCCAGCGCGCCCCCCTCCCTCCATCCCTCCCTCTCCTCCTCTCCCCTTCTTCCTTCCTTCCTCCTTACCTGTAGCCATCTGGTTGTAATGAGCCACCGCGTCGCTGCTGCCGGAGAAGAGGTTGAGAGAGCTGGGGATCTCCTCGGGGTACAGATTGTCAGGCAGTTGGTTTAGCAAACTGCTCATGGTCACCGGCAGCTTCTCGGCGAGTTTGCCGGTCATAGCACTCCCGAGCTGCCGCCGCCACCGCCACCGCCGCCGATCGCTCTTAGCACAGCTCCCCAGGAAGCGGCATCCGAGAGGCGATCCGTGGTGCGGGGGAAAAGCATGCGAGAGGGAAAGTTCGGGGGGGAGGGGGGAGGGAAAGGGGGAGGGGGGCGGGCTGAGGGAGGAGAGCCCTTTTTTGGGGGTGTGGGTGGAAGAAGGGGGAGGGGGGAAAGGGAGTGCAGCCCTCTGTGCGCCCTTGGGCGCTGTGGTGTGAGGCTAGGCGCTGTGTGGAGTGGGGGTGGGGGGTGTGTGCCGTGGGTGGGGGGGCGGGAAGGGGGGCCCCGGCTTGCAGGTGTTGGAGGCTGCCCCTTTACTGATCTCACACACACACACGCGTGCCTGCTTTCCTGGGACCCCCCCACACACTCCACCAGCGCCACCACCGCCACCGCCACCGCCACAGCCGCCGCCGCCGCCGCCAGCACCAGCAGCCACACCGCTTCTTAGCAAGCTCACTGCTGCCCAAATGCTCCCAGCCAGGGAACTCCACCAGCCTATTTATCCGAGCCCCGGGAAAGCTCCGTGACGTAGCTGCCCATATATGGACAGACAAAGCCCAGCCGAAGGGGCGCGACGTCACAATGGAAGCTCCTCACAATGGAACATTAGAAAGCAGGAAGCCGCTGCAGCCAGTGTTGCAGCGCTCGCATCGCTCGCGGTTCTAGTTAGCTGGAAAAAAGAAAAGAAAGAAAGAAAGAGAGAGATGGAGAGGAGAAGGAGAGAAGGGAGGAAGAGAAGGTGGAGGAAAAAAGAGGGGAAAAGAGAGAAGAGTAGATAGACCAAGGGAGAAGGGGGAAGGGGGGGAAGAAAGAATTGTAGGGGAGAGGAAAGCAAGGCCCATGTTTCCGTTTTTCATTTTTGTATCTACGTAGTGGCTTGCACATAGTAGGTGCTTAAAAATGTGTTGAATTTGATTGAGTGCAGGGGAGCGGAGTAGAAGGGAAAGTGGGAAGGGGGAGGTGAAGAGGGGAGAAAGAAAGAGAAGACAGAAAAGGGGGGAACAGGAGGGGAGATGGGGAGGGGTAGGGAAGAAGAAGAGGAAGGAGAGAAAAGAGGAGGGGAGAAGAGAAGTGGAAAAGGGAAGGGAGAGAGAAGAGAGTCGGTCTTTGAAGTTGCCCAAATCCTGGGACAAAGTGCGAAGCCTTTTCTTTGGAGAGTCAGGGTTGGGTTGTAGGATGGGCCCCATTAGAGAAGGGGAGGGGAAGGTTAAGCAGAGAGGAGGGGAGAAGTAATGGCGCTTCATATTTGAAAAAACTGGAGCCGTGTGTGTGTGTGTGTGTGTGTGTGTGTGTGTGTGCCCGCGCAAGCGCTCCCACAGCGCGGTGTTATTTCAGGTCGGTGACGGAAGGGTGGGTTTATTGGGTTGGGGGTCGGAAGCGGGGTAGAGTTTCTCTAAAGAGCTTTTAAACATCGCAACCGAGGAAGAAACCCCGAAGTAAATAGGCGCTGATCTCTCTTTTGTATCCCCCAAAGACCGGGGGGGGGGAAAGCTTCTGAGCCCCTGTAGCACTCCCCCCGACCCCGCCCACTTGGTGTGTCCTCAGTCTCTCCAGAAGCAACAGAGGTGACTTGGGGGGAGTCCGTTTGCAGCGACAGAGCCCGACAGGTATCTTCCATCCAGAATTCCAGGAACTCCCCTAATTAACTATTATCCCAACACTCTTCCCTCACCTCCTGAGCCCCAATTTATGTACTCCCAGGCGCACTGAGTTACAAGGGGGGGAGATGCGCTCTTTGCCTAGGAATCGAAGAGGCTGCTGGTCTGTGCAAGGGTAGAGGAGGGTAGAAAGGTGAAGTCGGGTTGGAGTCGAGGGGCGGAGCATCAAATTGTCCGTAAGTTATAGATGTCCTCTCCGCCCCCCCGCACCCCCCCAGCAACTGCCTCTAGGTAAAAAAAAACAAATGAAAGCACCTTGCAAGGTAGGCAAGGGATGCCTCTGAACTCGGCACCTCCCGAAAACTACAGTCCTCCCTTGATACCTCCACCTTGCCCCCCGCCCCTACCCCGCAACCAGTTAATTGTGGGACTGGGGAGAATTGATTTGGCCTCCCGGGGCCTTCATCAGGGTTGTTTCCGTTGTCGTCCGAAGCCACTCAGCAGTGGGTGGGGGTCTGGGTGCCAAAAAAAATCTCGGGAGGTCTTAGCTGTAGTTACGGCGGGACGTGGGGACTGCAGATACCTCCCCGGGGGCCTGCTCTGCTAACACTCTACGGGGCTATTTGGTGTGAGGTGGGCGTATGAACGACCCGGTTTTCTTTTAGTGGGAGGATGCCCTCCTTGGCGGTTCTGGGGGCTGGGAGAGTCCCGTAACCCCCGAGGGCGCAGGGGGGTGCTTGGAGAAGGGCACGGATTTCTCCCGGCCGTGGGGGTGGGAAAACGAGAGAATCCCCGGGTCCTCTCTGCGCAGGGCCTGGAGTCGGGGACAAGTGAGTGGGAGGAACTCCCAAGCCTCACATTTTGAGAGGGCGGATGGATGCCAGCAGCCTCTTCCTCTCTTCCCTCCTCCGCTTTGGGGACAGACTAGGGTTGGCAGAGCCAGCCCTTCCCTCTCCGAGGACATCTACTGTCCTGGGAAGGTGCAGGGATTCCCACCTCCCTCTCCTCCCCACCCTACTCTTCTCGCACCCCTTCTAAAAAAAGCAGATTCCCCGAGGCTCCCCCGTTCCCACCCCTGAGGGAGCGGGGCGCAGCGGCCCAGGGCGCAGGCCCGAAAAGGGCCTCGCCGCAGCTCCTTCGCCCCCGGGGGCTGCGTTCTCCCAGCTGAGCCCCTGGCCGTGGGCGAGCGAGGTGTGTAAATATGTGTGTGTTTGCGCGGCGCGCGTGGGGACGGGGGAGGAGGCCCGGGCGGCTGCAAGGAGGGTCGCAGGGCGGCGGGCCAAACGGGGAAGCTCCATAGAAGGAAAGGATCCGGTGACGCGGCGGTCGCGCCCCTTCTCGGGCTCGATTTGGCTGCCAATTCCGGTCTCTGGATTTGCATATTTTGGCTACAAGTGGAAAAGGGAAGAGAGCGGAACCCGCAGCCTTTAAAGGAACCGCAGAGCTGATCGCGTCACCCAAGGAGGCGGTCTGAAGGGCGGGAAGAATTAGCCCCGGCTCTTAGCCTCTGGGTGGAGAGGAAGGCCGGGATGGGGAGGAGGGATGGGGGGCAGGGTTGGGGAGGAAGAGGAGGAGGAGGAGGAGGAGGAGGAGGAAGAGGAATGGCAGCCGCCAGCTGCGCCCTCCCTCTGCACCCTAACCAGCCTTTGGGGGCGCGGTGACTTCGGAAGCGGAGCCTCCCACGAGGGACAGGGTCTGGACCGGACGGCTCGCAGGGATGCCACCTCTCTCCCCCTGAGAAGGGAGGGAGGGAGGGAGGAAGTGGGAGGGCTGCGGCCACCCTGAGCCGGGATGGGAGAAGCCTGCAATCCGACCCTCCCTCCAGCGTCCTCCACACTCCCACTTTCCTGTCCCAGGACCCCGTACTCCGGGAGTACACAACTACAAGAAAGTCGGACTGGCGAGAGCCAGCTGCTGTTTCCTCCCCTACAGAGTGCCCTTGGCCTCTTCAGAAAATGTCTGGGTAGCCGGGCTATTCTAGGTTTGCTCCCCAGACTTAACGAGTTTTTGAGGAAGAGGGAAAGGGATGAGGGCAAACAAGGTGCGGGGTGGAGGTGGGGGGATATTCCCCTTCTCCCATTAGCGCAGACTGGTTCATGGGGATCTTCAGTTAAATTCCCTTCATATACCTGTTGAGTGCCTACTATGTGCTTAGCACTGTGCTGGTATCTGGAAGAACGATGTGAGTCTTCTTTCAAGGAGTTAATTAAAATCTTTTTGGGGGGGGTGAGATAAGATACCTTATAAAAACAATTAGACATTCACCGAAAAAAAAAAGCACTTTCAGGCTGTTTTGAGTGCTGAGAGAAGTGCTTGGCACAGGTGGGGGAGGGGCGAAGATGCAAAGTTTGGATAAAACACTCTACCATTGACTTCCTGGATAAGACACAATCCCATCTCCCCGCCCCCACCATGACTATAATAACAAAATAACTAGCTGAGCTGCTCTTCCATCTAAAGTGTTGTATTAGAGCCAAGGGGACCAAAAGCCAGTGAGAAGAATGCTGGAGGAGGTGACAATGGGACTTTTTAAGGATTAGCAGAAATGTAACAGTTGTCTATCTATATCATGAAACAACTAGAGAATAACATGAAGCGCTCACCACACCCCCTACCCCTACCCCCAAGTGCTATATTAAACGTTGATCCTTCTGAAATACCGCTTTGGATCCAGTGAGGTGGATCTGAAAAGGAGTGCTGCTTTCAGGATGGTGCAATATAATGGAAATGGCCTTAGCTGTGGAGTCAAATGTTCTGGGTTCAAATGCAGCCCCTGCAATTTTATGCAATTTGCTTTTAACTTAAAAATTCACATTTTTCTCTGGGCCTCAGTTTTCTTTTTTTTTATAAATTAAAGGGTCTAGGTTAGTTGAAGAGTTCTTAACTTGGGGTTCATGGACCCCTATTGATAGAATTCATGAGGTTGGTGAACTTGGATGGCAAAAACAAATTACATTTTTATTTTCATTACCTCTAATTGAAACTTAACCTGTCCTTCAGTTACTTAAAAATGTGATTTTGGAAAGGGATCCCAGAGGCTGCACCAAATTCTCAGAGGAGTCCATGACACAGAAGTTTAAGAACTTTCCAACTTTATAACCCTTTGATTCAATGGTGGGTTCATTGGCTGCCCCTTCCCTCCTAGGCTTCTATAGAGGTGCTGTAGCTAGTTTGGTGAAGAGTCACACCTCTCCCTCCCAGAGGAGGTCAGGGAAGAGCATAAACTCAGGGGAGAGAAAGGGGCACACCTGTGTGAGTGGTAGAGACTGCTCCTGTAGACCCTGGCAACTCAGTTTCCTCTAGTGCCAAGTCCTGAGTTCCTCATGGAAAAATGCTGCTCATACCCTCTCTTCAGTGGAGGGGCAGAGGATGTTTGTCTTGGTTTCATTGGCCGACCCAGGTGAGATTGCTCAGGGCCTAATTACCTGAGCTTGAAGTCCTGAAACGTGTAGCAAAGCAAGTAGGCACTG